TAACATATACAACCCAAAATCATCAAACAGTTATAGAACCTAGACCAAGGTGCAATTCATTCAAACACAAATTGATGTGTTTTGCGTTTATAATTAAAGAAATAATTTGGCTCTAAATATTAAAGTTAAGGTTATATATTTTTTATAGCATAAAAATTGTATTTTCATTTGGAACAAAACACTTTTTAGATTATGTAAACACAAACACAAACAACTCAAGGTCTAGTTATGAAACCACATTTGATGTTAATTTTGTAAGCGAAAACAACAAAATATAATATAAATTTTTTTAATGAAAAACACAAAAAATTCTGTTTCTTCTGAAAATGTGGAAAACGAAAATGCAAACACACAAACTAAGGTGAATAATCTTTGCTATATATGTAAGTAAAAATAAAATTACCTTGATGTAGACGATTGGAGGAGAAGATTGAGAAGCACCAAAGAGAACAGAACAAAGAAGAAAAAAGATACTCAATGTCGCAACAACTCCCAAAATAAGTCTACAAGTAACAATGGAGACTCCTCTGTTGTCCTCATAAAGATCCTCGTACCGTCCATCACCACCTTCCTCCTTATCAGCCGGCCACCATCTCCCGCCGTGATATTTCCTCCGTCCCTTCCACCGGAAACCGCCACCACCGCCATTGGATACCCGGCTAGCAATTGATGGGTGTGACGGCGACTCTGTGGGAGTGGTTTGATGAGTAGTCAGTGCCACCGAGGAAGACTTGTCGGAGTCACGTGATGGGCTTTGAACGTAGTAAGTAGGACGTTTTGGTGATGATAGGTCGAGGCTTGTGACGTCTGAGTCAGATTTTGGGTACATCTTCATTTTTTTTGGTTAATCTTTTCTTTACCAATGTTTGTTCTTGTGCTCATAAATATTGGTATTTGTGTGTGCATGGGGACAAAATAGGGAACTAATTACAAGCGTTAGGTTGGGTAAGACAAAGGCCCATAGGTTAGGTGACCATTTGTCACTAGTTTTGGGTGTCAGTTACATAGTAGTACGTTCTCAATTCTGCAAGTTTGACATTTGTAACCGAAAACTTTGAGTCTTTCTTTTTAATTGGTTAGTGTAAATACGATGTTGTGTGGAAAAGTAAAAAAGAATTAGAAATGTGAAGAAGTTAGATTCGTTTTAAGTAAAGCTAGCTTTGGTGCTTCTTCTTAATTACATACTACAATTCTAAATATTTTCACATTGAGTAAAACAATAAACAAGTGACTGCTTTTAGCAAGAGAAACATACTGCCTACTATGAATTAAGTGTGATCTTATAAATCATACTTAAAAGTAACACTTATAAAGTATAAGAAAATCTAAATTTTCAAACATCAACAGGGATAGAATACAAGACCATAGAGTGGTAGAAGAGAGGATCGACCGTGAGAAGATTGATTGCGAGGATAGGATGGCACCAATCACACCTCCCCAAAATCTCGCCTCCCTCCCACCTTTCCAACGAAATCTCCGCACACCAAATCTCCAAGATCTTAAAACCATCACAACAACATTCGAGCTTTTCCCAAAAGACCAAAACATTATGACCAAGTTCGGTCAAGTTGGTCAATTGGGTCTCGGGAAGTAATTCTTCAAGGTTTAAGCTAATATTGTACATGATCTTGTAGGACTCCCACACTTTCACCATTTTCCCACCAAAGTAGACCACTCTCGATTCACGGAGCTCCTTTGACAGAAACTCCAAACCAAACACTTCCCTCCAATCTATCCCTACTGCGTCACACCAATCCAACTCCCCTGCCTCACACCAATATATACCTCCATCGTTACCACAACTATATATCAACTTATCTATTAGACACCAATCCTTGCTACGCTTTGAATCTTGATTCCCTTTTTCCCATATACTCTTGCTCGGCAAGTAGTAATAGCTTCCAACATCCCATGAATCCACCACGTATATCTTTTCTTCCCGCACTGGCTTTGGAATTGACATATCAGCCCAAGTTTGTGTCTTTGGATCGAACACTTCTCCCCAGTCGTAGTAATGCTTGTACTTGCAGCCTCCCCACACGTTTATCTTTCCGTCCACTACACTGACTTCAGGGGAAACACGAGCCACTCTCATGGAGGTCACGTGGTGCCACTTATGAGACCGACAATCCAAGAACAAGACGTTCGACGAGCGATTGCCATTTATCTTTTCGTGGCTGAGAGGGTAACGAGGGGATCAAATGAGCTCGATTCACATTGTTCCCAGTGGAAACGTCTACAGTTGGGAGGAGGATGCACCAACATAAGGTTTCGTCAGTAGGCATGCAGAAGCATACGTAGAGGAACTTCTCAGCGTAACCTATCAAAGAACCATTGACCGGCAGCTCTTGGAGACGAGAGATAAGGCTGCATGGTCCAATCTTGATACGCGGGCCAAGCAAATCATAGCCACCGCTTCTGGCAAAGATTGTAGAAACCCTGAAGATGACGACGGAGATGCCTCTTTCTTCCTCCTCTTACTATGTGGTTCCACTTCGGGAGCCTCATTGGACATTGTCACACACTTCTGACTTTGCTCGATTAACTTAATTATATAATTAAAGTATTGAACAAAAGGTTTTACGAGAGTGATGAGTTCTCCTTTTTGGATTAGTTTTAGCTTTAGGTTTAGGGCTTTTGAAGATTGAGAAGGATTCAACGAGAAACTACCTTCTAATAAGATTTAAAAGTAAAATTAGGGATACGCCTATTGTTTTTCGGTTATATATCAAAAACGAAATATATATAATTTTATCCTTAGTTTTAATCAATAACGAAACATTCGGTTTTAACCAAACCAAATAATTTATAGCTTACAGTTTTTCCCCACAAGGCCACAACCAAGTAAAACCATGATTCCCTAAGAGCATCTACATTGCACAACATAAGGAAATGTCTTTAATTACAAATAAAATAAAAGAAAAAATAAGAACCAATGACATTGTGCCGCATAAGTTAAGATGTCTCAAAACAAATGTCTTTGATGTCTCCCAAGAGACACAATTCTCTTTTCTGCATTAATTTAAAGACATTTACCTTTTTATTTTATTCATTAAAATCTAAAGACACTCACAATTTGTTATGCAATAGAGGTGGCCTAAGGCTTTATGGGTTATGTTATGTGTTCTTATTGTATTTTTGTTATATTTTTATTATATTGACTTTCATTTTTTTTGTCACTAAATTAAAATTATATTCATTAATTTGATGTGGAACCAAGGAAGTACACAATGCCCAAACAAGGGAAACCAAAGCCGACAGATAAAGTTAAAGTCCTCAGAGTCAAAGCCGGAGGAAAAAGAAAATATCCCCGGAAAGAAAGCCCTAAAGAAAGGGAAACAAAGACCCTAAAACCACAAAGCAGCAAACCAGAGACCCTAAACGAAAGATGATGTACCCAAATACAATAGCCGAAGCAACAAGGCTAAAATCCTAAAAAACAATAGTCACAAGCGGCAAAGAAAAACTCCTCCTCAAAAGCACCTGCGAAGAGATTTACTACGGCTGCCCACAGCCAACCCGAAATAACATCCACCACCTCCTATCATGAAGAGAGCCAATCTCTCGAAACCAGAAGCAAGAACTTCATAACCCGGCAAGCCAAACCACAAGAAGAAACTTGAAAACGCTTCCGAATGCGACGACGACGACTGAGGCGACCAATTGCGTCTAGATAGAAGCCTTCAAAAAGCTAACAGAAAAGATCTGAAGCAAGTACAAGGAGTGAAGCCTAACCTCTCGAGAACCTTCATCGAGAACAAGCACGACGAAAGAAGGAGGAAGCTATCAAACACAGAAACCAACACCAAGGAGGAGAACCAACTGCCAACAAAGAAGACTACCACAACAGAAACAGAAAGAAAAGGGACATCCAGTTGGGAACCAATGGCTGAAGCAAGGAGACCAAGAGGCGGAAAGAAAGGCATGGTCTGGGCACAAACTCAACGAGAACCCACCACCACACAAACAACGGCATAGAAACAAAGCTAACCACTTGAACGGCTACAAGATCACCTGATCTGTCCGCTCCAACCGAATCCACAATCTCAAAGTTCGGTTGATTTTCTATTAATCCTCAATAATATTGACTTTCTATTTTCCTTTATTTTTTTACATCTATTTTGTTTCATTTTTAAGAAAAATGTTTATTTTCCCCATTTTTATGGCTTACATCTATTTTATTTCGGTTATTTATTCGATTTCGGTTGTATTCTTTCGGTTATCAATTTTTTCAAGTTTAATTTCCATTTAGTTATTCTGAAAGTTCGATTTGATTTTAGTTCCGTTTCAATTCTTTCGGTTTTAAAAAAATTTAGATACTTTCAGTATGTTCTTTTATACTTTCAATTTATCTACAGTCCCTTTTTCTTTTTTTGGCCCATTTGGGTTTTGACTTTTGAATACAACAATAGGCCCATAAAGTAAAAAACGTATGGTTCAGTGACTAAACAATAACTAAATTAATGCCACATAACAAACCATTACCACCTCGTTTGGGAAGACTCACTAGTTGGCAAACAAGATACAAGTTATCAACACCTCACATAGAGAAACCAATCTGTTTTCCTGAAGCGTTTGCTTTAATTTAGTTTAGTAGCAACAAACCCAATTGCCTAGAAAATTATCTATGACTAACTAGTTTTCACAGTTATAAGTATTCTAACAAAATTCTCTAATACGTCACTATAAGTTTTAGAGACAAATATTGTCACTTTCTCGAATATGTCAAGATTAATTGAATTGTGAATTAATAGATTAATCAAATGTCCCAACAAAATTAAACTTTAGTAACCGATATTCAAATTGTGTTTCTGGGTTGATCTAGTTTAGAAAAACTGGCCAACCATTCAATATCACAACTTCTCCTCGATCAGTCCGTACTTTTTTATCCGGATTTATCCCAACCATTCGATTACAACAAAATTATAGGAAAAGAAAATAGTTACTTAAGGAACAATTTGAGATTGAAAAATTTGGATAATAGATGAAAATAGAGAGGAAAGGGTCATCAGATAGGAGCGAAAGACTATGCTGAAGATGTTAATCATAATAGAATTTATCATCTGAACTATGCGTTATCAATCATCACTTGATCCCTTTCAATTTCCTCTTTTCTCATCAAATTAATCCAAGACAATTTTAAAACCAATAACCAAAAAACAAAATCGGATTTAGACCTCATAGAGAAGATTAGATTTATCAACAAGGATTAATTCAGACATATGCTTGTCTATAATCATTTAAATCACAGGCCACTAAACATAATCAACCAAAAACAGAATTAAAAAAAAATATGAAAAAAGGCCTCATAGAGAAGATTAGAGTTTATCAACAAGGATTAATTCAGACATATGCTTGTCAATTTTGATTAAATCATTGGCCAAACAATCGATTAGAAAAAGATTGAAAAACAAATATCAATAGGACTCAGAATATGGGTGGTGATATAACAGAATGGTCGGCAAATAGGCTTTTTACGGCCGTTTTTACGACGAACGAGACCTTAATATCAATCGTCACTGTCCATTACTTTTACCAAAAACAAAAATTAAAACCAGAAGAAGAAGATGAAAACTGAAAAACAGAGAAGCTAATCGGCGGAGATCTAAAGAACCCTAGAGAAGTTGATAATGAATGTGTGATTACTTTCTCACGCCTTTTATACAGAAAAACAAAACAAAAATTGAGAGCTAGGGTTTTGGTTTATTTGACAAGATTAGCTAAGATGTTGACACGTGGTACATCTGACGGTTGTGATATGTTAAATCTTCCGTTTTTTCCTGTGGAAACGACATGCAGTTTCATATAGATACTTCTAAACTACATACTGTTTCTTGTAGAAAACCGACTTTTATTTCCCTGGCCCAAAGGCCTGTCATGGGTCCATTGAACTAACACGCAATGTGGATCATAACTATTCACTAGCCTACGTGGCCTTTTTCGAATTAAATTATGTCTTAAAATCTTGTGTTATTTGATCTTTTTGTAAATCATGATTAAAGGAGATTTTACAATTTGGTATTATTAAATTAAGATTAATCTTTTTAAAAAACCAAAGGTTACTCAAAATTACATATCTTAAAAATAATTGTATACTAAGTCTTTTTAAATAAATTTCAAAAGAATTTCATGAACAAATTATTAGAAACAAAGTTTAAAGTATACTGCAAATATACTCCACACACATGAATTTTTAAAAGTAATATCAGATTTGAAATATTGAAGATTGTAAAACGTACGATTAACTTTATATCCAAGATTAAGTGGTCAATTTGTTTTACGTTTTTAGATATGTTTGATATATTTCAAATGCACCTTTGGAGTTTGGACCATACGCATATTGTTTGATAATTTGATACACATAGTTAAACGTATTAAATATCCTCTATTTTTGAAAGTCAAGAAAAACAAAGAGAACATTTAAAGATTATAACATGTACATTTGAGATAGTTATCTTCTTGTTAAGAGTTAAAAACTCCTTAAGCTAAAGACTTCTCTATCCGAGGAAGGAAGAGGGTGTGATTACTTCATTTACTACTTTGCTTTCATTCCTTTTTCCCTATCTACACTTTTATGTTCTCTATAAAAGTATCTCACAAGGATTTTCATGATTAATGCCTATCTTTGGGACTTCTAAAACCGTTTAAATTCTCTAACTTCTCCAAGTATGAGAGCTTTTTCGGCGTAAGGTTTGGAGATTTAGTAGGTTTATCGCCTCCTTTGGAACTATTATCGTTCCAACCCATAAAATCCAACAAGGTCTTGGAGTGTGGGTCAAGCTTCTCGGCTTCTTCTCCCGAGTTAGAAGATCCCGCTGACTCGGAATCCGTCTCTGTTGTTCTCCCACCATCTGATGTTTCTTCAGCCAATAAAGTTTGCTTTAGTGCCAATGTATCTGTGTAAAGAACATCTTCTATTCTTGACATCACTGTGTAAGCCAAGCTCTCAAGTATCCTAGAGTAACTTTCCAACACCGCTTGCCCAACGTCCTGTATCCATTGATAAAAGATCAGTTTTCTTATAACCAAAACAAAAATGAGTTGTTTCTTGCCATTCAAGGCATCTACAATATATGAGAGCTTATCATTATGATTGATTTACCTTGTTAAACTGAATCTTGGAGATGTCAAGGGAAGATTGAGGAAGACCGGGAAATTTTTGTTTGAGCAAGACCAAGATTGTTTCTGCTCTCTCTTCGAACAATTCTCTCTTCTCCAAGCTAACTGCTGAGCCCCACGAAGATTTGGTGTCCTTTGTGTGAAGCTTCCTCTTCCAAATCACAACAGATGCCTCAATTCTGTTCTTCAAATCCAACACTTTGTGCTCTGTCGACATGTCCAACATCGCTAAGAACTGCTCAGGATCAAACCATTCCTCTGTTATGCTCTTGTATATCGAATCCCCGAGGCTGGCTCTTCCGTTCTGTCAATAAAAATCAAATCTTAAGAGCCAAACATAGAATAACAAAAGATACAAATTGAATAAAAACGTGACATTGATTTACCTTTGGGAGAGAGTCGATGTAGCTCTCAGGTATTTCCATTTCTGAGAGGACTTGAGCATTGATGGCCATTGCAGCTTTTTGAACTTGTGTGACTGAATCTTTTTGGAAGTAAAGCATTCTCCGAGATGGTTCTGATAAACCTCCAGGAGGAACTTTAACCGGTGGTAGCCACCACTTGTCGTTTGTCCGATCATTCCTTGCTTGCTGCCCTTCTTCTGAATCTCTTGAGACATACCAAAACTCGTTGTGTCCTCTGAAATTGTCCAATGTATCCTGAACATGTTATCATTACCATTAATCCACCAAACGCTAGATATAAGCCGGATTCAATACAGATTGAATGGAGAGACTTACGATGAGCATGGCGTCAAGTTTTCGAAGAGCTGGAATGTTCATAAGAAGATCACCTCTTTGTCTTGTCACCATAATCTACAAAAAAAAAAAAAAAAAAAACATTGTAACTTATTCTAAAGAGGTCGCAAAAATGATATTTTCTTTTCTTTGGGAAACTCAAACCTCAGTGCAAACTCCTTCTTTGCTTGTTTGTTGAGAAGGAACAAACTCGACAATGTGATCGGTCACAGATAATAACCAATCGATCTCTTTCTTCCATCTCGCTTGTCTATCTTGCGGCATCGGTTGTAGCTTTGTTTGTTCTCCGAATATAGACGCTGCAAATCATCATACCACCAACACAAGATTTAGAAACCAAAACCCTCATACTTACTTGCGAAAGAAGAAACTTAAAAAGTATAAAAAGAAGATTACCAGCAAGATTTGTGATGGCATTGGAAAGAGCCAGAGCAGAAGATACGCCTTTCCCACCACCGGACATATCTTCTCCAAGAAGCAATTTAGCGAACCTGTCTTTCATCATCTCCATATCTGCAATACTTTATGTGATTATTAGGTTTTTTTTGAAGGATATAAGTTATTGGAAAAGGAAAGAAGATACACACCTGCTTGTTGTCTCTCAGATCTTTTTCCTGGCCGAGTAAGAGGGGAAATCATTGGAAGGCTGCTCTCTACGGGGCTTTCTACGAAGCTGTCGGAGTTTTGGCTTTCAGGCGTGTTGGATTCGACAATATGAGAATCTCCGTTCTCCACGACAATAGTTTGAGATTGTTGTTGTTTCGTCGAAGATGAATCAAACATTCTTTTAAAGTTGAATGATTTGGAAGCGCTTAGTCCTCGTTCCAACGCTGCAACCATGGTACGACAACGTTCGCTTGTTTTCTTGCCCCGCAAGTTAAAGCCCTTTATTCCTTTAAAATCCAGTTGATCTAAAGATGATACAACTCTAAGATTTTTGTTAAAAGCATAAAAAGAACAAAAAAAACAACTCTTTTATTTTGAAAATGAAACAAAATTCTTAAGAACAAACGTTTGTTTTCGATTTTAAGGACTAAATGCATTTCAAATATGAAAATAGTAAATCAAAATTTAGGAAGTTAGCTATTTCCATGATTGGTTATCTTCTCTTTTGTGTTAGAAATAAATTGATGGTTTGTGATAAAAGTGACGTTCCACGAAGTACGGAAAAGACAATAAAACTCCAAACTGATTCAACTTTCTTATGGGAGATCTACCATTCATCAAATAGAGTATTTAACGCTATCCTTATGTCTTGCATTTTTCTTGTTCTGCTTTTGAGTGTTTAGAATTTACTTAAGTTTTGGTTTATTTGGCTTTGAAATCAACCACTGTGCAATTGATTCATTGGTTACATTTCCATGTTTATGTACTATGGAATGTCTTCTTCACCACTAGAGCTACATAATTCACCAGAGAAAGACATAAAACTTGTCAGATATCAAAGTTTATATGACAAGTTTAGTTTTCAAATCACCAAAATATGTTTTTGATCTTGTCAAGTAATAAAGAAGCCATTGACCAGGCTTGTTCAAAACAATATAACATGAATAATAAACAAACAAGGCAATGTAAGAAATTACTAGTAATCTCCTCCTTTTCTTTTGCCTCCTGCTGTAGGATTCCTTCATGTACTAGAGTCTAGACCTTAAGTATTGGATCTGCACCGAACTTGGAACATAAGAGAGCATTTCTCCGAAATCCGTTACTTTGAAGAACATATTCTCTCTTACCACGAAAGATATCTCGAAGAGATGATTGACACCATATGTACCACAACAAATGCTGCTTTTTCTCTTTATCAATGAAGAAAACTGCAAAATTCAAACACAGATAGAAAGTACGTGACAACCAAACACAAGTGGAATTTCAACTTTGAAGAATTTGCTCCACGACACTGCATTTGGCTCAATCTTAGTTGTAAATTCATGTCTCCATCACATATCTATCCAGACACCTTCCCAAAAACACCTCAATCTGCTCTTCTCTAACACAAGATGAAATCACATAACTATTGGAATCAAACGGCAGATGCAGACGTGATCCAAATCTCTATGTTGTAAAATCAAAACAAATTAAAGAATCTTCGCCTTTACGATCAACAAAGTAAGTATTTCTCTTTAAAGACACACGACTCTTTTAAACGTTATATAAGAATTATAAGTAATTTCAAGAACCCTCCACGAACTAGACTTGAAGAATTATACTTAAAATCATAGAT